TCTGGCTAGCTCTCAGCAAAAGTCAGAAAGAAAAAGGGTCCACCCAGTTTCCTGCTGCCCAAGAGGCTTAAGGAGGCTGGGGCTGGTTGGGTGAGTTTAACTTGGATTCAGGGCTGCCTGGGCCCTCTAGCTTGGAGTTTAGGTGAGGTTCATAGAAGTCTTAACCTCCTTTTGCTAAACTTTCATGAGTTAGCTGTTCTCTCCTTAATTGGGGAGGAGACAGGGATAGTGTCAGCCCAAAGGACAGACTGGTCATTGAGACTAGTGTTACTCAGAAAACACCGGCAATCTAAGGAGTACACCCAAAGTCAACAGTAATGGAACTGCCTGAAATTCTCATTTGGGGGCTATGTTTCCTGGATGAAAGGATGCTTTTCTGTTTTCAAGGGCTCACTCAGCAAATCCTTGCCATAGACTAAAACAATATAGCAATACCTACCTGTAAGGAGCTCCAGTGGTGTAGTGGGTTACAAATTGGACTGCTAATTGCAAGATTGATAGTTCAAACTGACCAGTCACTCCACAAGAGAAAAATGAGGCTTTCTGTTTCCTTAAAGATTTATAGCCTGGGAAACCCACAGGGGACAGTTGTACTCTGCCCTACAGAGTTGCTATAAATTGGAATTGGCTTGATAACTGAGTTTGTTTTTTCACCTATAAGCACCAATCTACAGACAAAAGACACATTAAGTATAGGTTGCAAACACCATTTACCAGGGTCCAATGCAGTGGTCCTATGTTTGACTGCTGAGTTCTTTGGCTTTACACAACCTCTGCCATTATCAGTTTGCACTGTTCGAGTTTGCACACTGAATTACCCAGAGCCCTGAAACCGTTTGGGCAACAGAAGAGAACAGTGGAGTCAACACAATGAGTTAAAGGCACTGCTTACTGTTCTTACCTAATAATTAAAGTTTTTATGAACCTAATGCCTAGATGTGAGTGGTTTTGATCTTGTTAGGTGCCATTGAGTCCATTCTGACTTATAGCACACCTATGTACAGCAGAATGAAACTCTACCCGGTCCTGTGACAGTCTTACAATTGTTCTTATGTTTGAGCCCATTGATGGAGATCTGTGTCCATCCATCTTGTCAGGGGCCTTCCTCTGTCCCTACACTTTACCAAGCATGTTGTCCTTCTCCAAGGATTGGTCTCTCCTGATAACATGTCTTAAGTATGGGGAAGTAAGTCTTGCCATCCTTGCCTCTAAGGAACATCCTGGCAGTACTTCTTCCAAGACAGTGCTGTATGTTCTTTGGGCAGTCCATGATACTTTCCGTATTCTTCTCGACACCATAATTCAGATGCATCCGTTTTTCATTGGTCTACTTTAATCAGTGTTCAATTTTCACATGCATATGAGGAAAGTGAAAATACTATGGCTTGGGTCAGGTGTACCTTAGTCTTCAAAGGAACATCCTTGCTTTTCACCACTCTAAAGAGGTCTGGTGCAGCAGATTTATCTAATGCAATGCATCTTTTGGTTTTTTGACTGATACTTCCAGGAACTTTGATTGTGGATCCAAGTAAGATGAAATTCTTGACAGCTTTAAGCTTTTCTCCATTTATTGGTGTTATTTATAGGTCCAGTTGTGAGGATTTTGGCCTTCTTTACATTGAGTTTTAATCCATACTGAAGTCTACAATCCTTGATCCTCATCAGCAAGTTCTTTAAGTCCTCCTCACTTTCAGCAAGCAAGATTGCATCATCTACATATCTCAGGTTCTTAACAAGCCTTCCTCCAAACTTGATGCCATACTCTTCTTCATATAATCCAGCTACTCTGATTATTTGCGAAGCATACAGATTGAGTAAGTATGACGAGAAAATACAACCATGGTGCACACCTTTCCTGAGTTTAAACCATCCAATAGTCCCTTGTTCTGTTTGCACCACTGCCTCTTGATTCATGTACAGATTCCACCTGAGCACAATAAAGTGCTTTGGATTTCCCATTCTACTCAAAGGCTATCTATAGTTTGTTATGACCCAGACAATTGACTGCTTTTGCATAGTCAATGAAACACAAGTAAACATCTTTCTTGTATTCTGTTCTTTCAGCTAAGATCCATCTATCTGACATCAAAAATGATATCCCTTGTTCCATGGCCGCTTCTGAATCTGGCCTGAATTTCTGGCCGCTCCTGTCAATGTACTACTACTTCAACTGTTGTTAGATGGTCTTAAGCAACATTTTAGTTGCATGTTATATCATTATTATTTTATAATGTGTACATTCTTTTGGGTCACCTTTCTTTGGAAATGAGTACACATATAGATCTTTTCCAGTCACTTGGTCAAGTAACTGTCTTCCAAATTTCCTAGCATAGACAAGTGCTTCAGCAGCTTGTGGAAACATTTCGATTGGTCTTCATCACTTCCTAGAACCTTGTTTTTTGGCTATGATTTCATTGTAGCTTGGACTTCTTCCTTCAGTACCACTGGTTCTTGTCCATATGCTACCTTTTTAAATGGTCGAATGTAGACTGACTGGCAGAGATCCATAAATGTGCCCATTTCAAAGAAAGTTGACCCAACAGAATGCTCAAACTAGAGAACAATATCATTGATATTGCACACAAGTAAAATTTTGCTTAAGATCATCCAGCAATGGTTGAAGCAGTACATTGACAGGAAACTTCCAGAGGTTCAGGCTGGATTCAGAAGAGGACGTGGAACATGGGATATCATTGCTGATGTCAGATGGATCTTGGCTCAAAGCAGAGAATATCAGAAAAATGTTTACTTGTGTTTCATTGACTTTGCAAAGGCAGTCAACTGTCTGGATCAGAACCAACTATAGATAACCTTGAGAAGAATGGGAATTCCTGAACAGTAGATTGTGCTCATGAGGAACACAATCTACATGAGGAACTTGTATATGATGGATCAAGAGGCAGTTATATGAACAGAACATAGGGCATAGTTTAAAATCAGGAAAGGTGTCCATCAGGGTTGTATCCTCTGACCATACTTGTTCAATCTCTGTGCTGAGGAAATCATCAGAGAAGCTGGATTCTATGAAGAAGAATGTGGCATCAGGATTGGAGGAAAGTTTGTTAATAACTTGCAATATTGCAGATGACACAACCTGACTTGCTGAAAGTAAGGAGGAACTGAAGCACTTGCTGATGCAGATCAAGTATTAAAGCTTTCAGTGTGGATTACAACTCAATGTCAAGAACACAAAAAATCCTCACAACTGGACCCATAGGGTAACATCATTATCATTACATAACTGCCACATTACAAAGCTTGAAACCAATTCTCTGAGACCATGTACACAGTGGTCCTGCCCTATAGACTCTGGTGCTGGACATGCCCTTTGGATTCTGGGTAGAGGTCCCTCGACTTTGGGCTTTATCTCTGCTTTCCAGGCCCACTGGAACTGCAACATTGCTCTGTTGTCTTTGGGTATTCTCCTAGCCTGCCTGAGTGGTGATCCCACTCCCACTACCTGGCAGACCTCATTCTGCTCCCTCAGGCATGGCAGTCCTTCCACCAAGCTTGTGAATATCTGATTCTTTGAAACCTAGGAGCTGGGACCACATCCTTAGGAGCCTCCAAAGCCATGGCCCCCCACATGTTGAGACCCCAGAGGGCCTGACTGTTTGAGGTTGAAGAAGCTCTGCGTCATGTGCTACTTGTCTCATCAGCTTCTCCTTCTTGGTTTCTTGGTCTCAAAAAGTGAGACCTGTTTTCTTGGCCTCTGCCTTGCTTGACTCAGTGTTAGAAAGCTCTTTATTTCTACTGATAAGTGCTTCTATGAATAAGCTTTGGCCTAAATGTGCTGAAGTCTCTTGCTCCATGGGTCAAATCTAAGTGCTTACATTGATCTCTTGGTGCTGTTGCTACCATTTCCCTTCCCTGCTGCTGCTTCTCAACATTTGTGCTGTCTCCCGTATTACAGATCTTCATTTTATTGTAAGTCTTCACCAGAACTATATTTGTTGCTCATAATTCTACCAGCAGTCTTTCCAAGGAAGCCTAAGCTTTCACTATTTGATCTTTTGGCCTCTACTCATTACTCAGTTACAAAACCACTTCCATATTTTAGGTATCTATTAGAGCCATACCGCTCTTGTCTGGTTCCAAAGTCTATCTCATTTATCTAGTGCTGCTAGAATAAATGCCATAAGTGGGTGGCTTTAACAAGCAGAAATTAATTTTCTTCACAGTTCAGGAAGCTTGATGACCAAATTCAGGGCAACAGCTGTAAAGTGCTGTTGGCTTACAATGTCGGAGGAAGGGCCTTGGCTCCTTTAGCATCTGCTGGTCTGGTATTCTTTAGGTGTCTCCATATGTCTTGGCATCAATCTTCCCCTGGGTCTAGGAGGTTCCCAGTACAAAAACCATAGGTCCAAAAGGTAAGCTTTTCTTTCTTAGTGATAATAGGTCTCTTTCTACTTGATTCTCTCCCCTTGTATCTCTTGTAAGATAAAAGATGCTGGGCAATGTTACTTACATTGGATCAGGAATATGATGGATTTAAGGGCGCTGAATGCCAAACTAATATTCTTACAATGGATTTGCTTATCAGATCACATATTGGGGGATCAGTACATAACTGCCACATCGATTCATTTTGTGACTTCCAAATCACTGAGAATCATGGCCCACTAAAGATCAAATTTTGAAGGGAGAGGCACAATTAAATCCACGAGAAGCATACCCTGTTCTCCCCAGTTATTGTTCTCTGACCTACAAAAGTTAATTGTGATAACGTGCTCTTTGGGAGATGGCCCATTACCAAATCCTTTCCTCACAAATAAACTGAGGTTGATTAAAAAAAACCCTATCCCTTTGATCTATGTATTGTGATGAGTTGTATGAGCCCCAATAAATTGATTTAAAAAAAAAAAACCCTATCCCATGGTATTACTCTTAATTATAGAATTTATTCATAGTTTTCTGATTTATTTTATTTCTTCCTTTAAAGTAATATAACAGAGACATTAAAATAGATGTCAGTATACATTTATTGAAGTGCAGATTATTTGGTTTAAAGAAAGAGTATTAAAATAATGCCTCTTGTAATGGATCACATTTATGTATACATATATTTATCAGGATACACAAGTAAATATCTTGGAGGAAGAACATCAGTGGGTGGAGATTTTGAGGTAATTTGTACTTCAGTTTCTGTATTTTATTTTTTGAAGGGTTAACAAGGAGTTATACTTCTATCAAGAGAGTAAAGTCAACAAGAAAATAAACACACTCGGAGAGCAGACTGTTAGGCAGGCAGAGGAGTGGGCAGGGACATTGGATAGGCCATCCTTCTCTACTGTGATGGTATCTAAGATTTGTTCTCCTTTGCTCCCAAATAAAAAGACTTTGTGGTTTATTTCACACTCACCCCACCCACAGTACCACTGGACTCTGAAAACCATGAAAGGTTCATTTAGGCTCAGAGGGGAGAATGTGTTCTGCAGGAGCCTCTTTAGACAGCTTCACCTCTGGGTGTCACCTCCTGCAGGGTGATGATCAGATTCTCAAACACCTGGGCCTTATTGCGCTCATGAACACAAGTTTCTTTTGAGTGACCATGCTTGCTACAATATGAACAGTAGGTTGTGTATTTCCTCTTCCTGGCTCTACGTTTATCCCTAGGGCCATCATTCATATTCCCAGAACCACCACTGGTAGGAGATGGGACCCAGGAATTGTTGGGGGAGTCATTGGCCAGCACCCAATCCTGAGGTCTGGCCCTGTAGCTGGAGGGAGGAGCACCCGTGGATGAAAGTAGAAGGTCCTGAGCCTCTACCAGGATCACATCCTCATCTGAGTCATGGAGGGGAATCTTTTATCTCTTTCGCTTCACAGTTAGCACTGTCAATTGCTGAGGGCCCTGAAATGCCACAGTCCTGACTGCCCTTTCTAGGATTGCCTCAGCTCTTCTGGGCTGCTTATGGTTAGCAAACGTGTCCTCCCCATCCTCTTCTGCCCTGAGCATCCTGATTAGCTCCAGGAAAATGGGAAGACTCTCCTGCTCATTTGCATACATCCTGAGAAAACCTTGAAGCCTCTGTCTCAGGGTTGTGTCCAGCCCAGCCCCTTGGAGGAGTTGGTGCAAGTGAGTCTGGTTAGCGTCTTTCTCAACTATGACCCCTGCCTGAATAGCATTCTGGAGCTGCATTTCTAAACGGATCACATATAGGGATGTTTTCTCCCCTTGCGTCTGTGAGGTTTTCAGAAATTTACCATGGGCAGTCACACGGCTCACAGACTCCCCAAACATCAGTTTCATGGCCTGCAGGAAATCAACACAGTTAGGTTGGGGTTGGCTGCCAGGAGCAAGCGCATGACCTCCCGGGCAGGACCCCTTAGGGTTTTCCTCAAGCGCTTGAGCTTTTCCTTGTCAGAGGTAGTCCAATCTGGCATGACCCCATTGACTTGGATCAGCCAGTTTTCAAAGGTTTCTTCCCCCTGAGCTGGCATCACCCTCCCTGAGAACAACTTCAAATTTCCCTCCAACAAATTGGCCATTAAAGGACCAAGGCTCCTCCCCAGGGACATCAGCATGGAATGGACCCAAGACGGTAAAGGTGTGTTCTGACATCGGCTATTACCCACACGTGCAATGATGCTAGCCATAACTGACAAGGATCGTTTAGTTAAATGTAACAAAATGCTTAGGCTTTTCTGAAACACCTAGTGTTCTGCAGGAGGAAGCCCCAAGTGCGGTTCCTGGGCTCTGTCTTCCTCGCATCTCAATGGGAACTGTAAAAGAAAAGGGGAGGGGAAAAAGAAAAAAAGGTAATTGTAGCAGCTGCAGGGAAGCAGTTTGTGGCCACATTATCTCCCTTGATCTGCTACGGTATATAATTGCCCCACTGCCCTAAAATAGTAGAGCTTTGGTGGTGTAGTGGTTGTGTGTTGGGCTGGTAACAGCAAGCTCCGCAGTTCAAATATACCAGCCACTCCATGCAAGAAAGATAAGGAGTTCGGATCTCCTAAGCCCACAGGGGCACTTCTACTCTGCCCATTGGGATTACTATGAGTTGGCATCAACTTGATGGCAGAGGGTTTGGTGGTTTTTTTTTTTTTTTTAGACTGGCAGTTACAACCTCAGGGGGCTGGCCAGTGTCTTGTGTGAGCAGGGTACATATGGAGCCAGCCCCATCCAACCCTTGCTAACCCTCCAGGCAAACTAGTGTGTGGAATGGATACTGGGCTTTTAAAATTGAGCTGAATAATCTAAAAGCTCACAGATTTGTGGGAATAAATAAGACCTTATTAATCTGGTCCCATCTCAAGTACACCCCCTTCTCAAAGTTAACCCTGTTCACAGATTCTTACAGGGTCTCAAGAACACACATACCTTTATTTCACTTCCAGCCTCTGCAATTGGTACCCTTAGCCTGAACAGTTAGTTCCCTTGGGGGGTACAGTAAGCTTCTCTGTTCTACCCAGCAACCGGGTTGATGACGTGGATCTTTCAGGTGTCAAGACTGGGCCATGGGCAGAAAGAAGTCAAAAGCTACCTCATCCCTATACCCTACACTCGCCTCTGCTGTCACCTGGCATAAGATTTCCTCTCCCACATTCTGAATTCCAGCTAACATATCCCACCCATCCAATCCCTCCCATGCCTCCGGAAAATGTGGGCCTACCAGCTCTGCCATCAGCTACACATAATTCATGTTCAGGTTCAACTTTGATGGCCTGCAACTGAGAAAGGGAAATGAAGTTGGACAGGCACACTCGGCTATTTCTCCCCCAGGAACGCAAAAGGGGGCAGCTTGAAATGCCACTGACCCTTAACCCAACTCATCCCTGAAAACGCTCTCCATCCCTCAATCCAGACAAATCTTACCCATTTGGCAGCATCCTGCAGTGCTCCACCTCCTCCCTGCACGCTCTCGAGCGCGCGCGCGTGCAGCTTGGCCTCAAGGTTATTGACTCCCTAGGACCGGCAGATTGCGCCCTTTTTTTCAACCTGGGATCAGCGGGCGCTCGGGCCGTTGGGCAGCTGTGCAATCTGCCTTCCGGGCCTCCACGCTGCAGGAGATAAGGCCTGCCGCCTCATTAAGCGACCTGAGGCTGTGGAACTGTCTGGCTGGGCCCCAAGCCGAGGCGGCGCGGTGCGTGGGGCATCACATCAGCCCCTGCTCCGCCCTCCCAGGGCCGGGGTTGCTTTGATCCTTTGGCCACAGAGAGGAGAGAGCGTGACGAGTCGGGTGGCTAGGCCAATCAGCGGGGCGCGGGGGCGGGCTCCTCGCTCGCCTCCCGCTTCAAGAAGACCAGCAAGAAGGGGGGTGTGCAGGCAGCGGGGGCTGCGGCAGAACAGCGCGGGAGCGGAGCGAGCGCAGTGTCAAGTGCAGCCGGTAAGCAAGGACCCGGCCGATTTACATTTTCCCCCCGTCAGTGTGCTTGCTTCCCACCCCACCCCACCCCACCCCACCCCCAGCTTTCCTTCTCATTCTCCTCACCTGAATTCCCCGCCTCGCTTTTGACCGGTGCCTCCAACACGAGGTGGGACTGAAATCAAGTGAACAATAAGAGTTCTTCACCTTTGTATGGGGAGAAGGGGGAAAGAAAGATTTCCTGGGCGCTTTCTGTGTGCGAACGCGCTGGCATCCACATCCCTGTCTTCTCACTGGTGAAGGCGGTAGCAGTCTGCCCATTTAACAGACAGGAAACGTGAGCATTCGGAAGTGCAGAGCTCAGAGTTCATACCCAAGTCCACAAGTCTCACTTCAAAGCCCGGCCCCTTGTAAACACACCTCTGGACTAGGAGATTGAGGAAGAAACACTAAAACGGGATTGGGGGTGGGGGGGCTGGGAGGGGCCGCTGGGAGTATCTAGAATTAACGCTCAAGGACAGTGCTGCCCATTTTACAGATAAGGAAACAGGCCGAGGTTCCCCATCTTGCAAATAAATGGGAAAGTCTGCTTTTTCACCCAAGCCTGCCTCCCAAAAGCAAACTCTGCCCTGCTGAGGTGCCTGGAAAACGGTTTTTACATAAATTCTCTCAAACCATTTCAACAACTGCCTCATGCTAGCGTGGGGGTGGGGAAGGAAGTTCTACCGCCCTTGATGGCATTGTGATTATGACTCCAAAGGAAACAAGGTTCAGGGAGGTAAGTCCTGCTGGGGTGATGGAACTATTTGGTGATACCACCAGCAACTCCGTGGGAGAAAGATGAGGCTGTCTACACCCGGAGAGAGTTACAGTCTTTTGGAAACCCACAGGGGCAGTTATTCTCTGCCCTATGGGTCGGAATCCACTTGATGGTGGTGAATGAATGTGAAAGTGTAAGGTGAAGCTGAAATTTGAATCAAGTATCTACAACTCCAGAACTCATGCTATTAACCAGGTTGGTAGTTCAAATCGACCAGCCACGCCTGGGGAGAAGGATGAGGCTTTCTGCTGCCAAAACAGCCTGGAAACTCTGTATCAGGTTGATGCTGTAAGCTGAAATTGACTGAAAACAGCCTGTTTGCTTGGTTTGGGTTGTTGATTCGGAGGCTTGTGAATCTCCACTGTTTTAAAGACACTTCTTGCTGAGGGTAATAAGTAAATGGACTTACCACCAATATATCTATCCATAGCAAATCTGTCCTGAATGCCATCTTACATAATTTCAGGACAATAATGGACCCCTACCTGAAACCGTGTGTAAAGATTGTGGACCTGATCTAATAGCCTTGTAGATTTTCAAATGGATCCTTGACCCTGAAAGCTCTAAGAACCTCTCGCCTACAGTCTCTTTATAACATCGACTTCCTTCAACTTGTTCTTGAGGACTAAGTGTGAGAAATGAAACTTGCTTTGACCAGACCCCCAAACCACAGCTCTCTGCGGCTGATAGAGCCCTTCCTTTTCCTGGTTTGAGGGTAGGTTGCTAGGTGAGCTCTTGAGGGGACTTCTCTCTTGCTAGAATTGGCATCACTGACTCCAGAGAAAGAGCAACTCCATGGAAACAGCATACAGGCTTGTCCTGAATGACCTGCAAAACTGGCGGCTGGGAAGCTTGCTCCTTTTCCCCTTATATCTGGTTCTTGGGGGAAAAAATCCAAATCCAAATTCTTTGCTATTGAGTTGATTCCCACTCATAGTGACCCTAGGGATAGAGCAGAACTGTTCCTGTGGGTTTCTGAGGCTAAAACTCTTTATGGGAATACAAAGCCAGTCTCTTCTTTCTCCCTTGGAGCAGCTGGTGATTTCGAACTGCTGATCTTGAAGTTGGCAGCCCACCCGGTAACCCACTACTGCTCCTCAGTTCTTAGAAGCAGGTCTTGATGTAGAATGTAGCCGGGCTTCTGGGAATTGTTTGGTGGTGGTTGGCATGCACCATTTCGCTGCTAAGGAGTTGCGTTGCTTGTACATGAGTCCATGCTTAGGAGCTTGAAAGCTTTCAGTTGCGGTTCATCTGCAGCCTGTCAAGGTACTCACTTCATCTGCTCCTTTCTGCCGTCCAATTTCTGACTCCAAATACTTACAATTCCTTGGATAAACAATCCAACTTTGAAGATGAAGCACCTTCCATCTCAGGATTGTAGCCTTTCTCTTAGGGGTCGAACCACGAGATGACGGTGGGGTGGGTGGAGCTATAGAGAAGGCTGGATGCCCATTTCATAACTAGGGGTATTGCTTGGCTGTAGCTCTAGGGCAGTGGTTCTCAACCTTTCTGATGCCGCGACCCTTTCATAAAGTTCATCATGTTGTGGTGACCCCCAACCATAAAAATATTTCATTGCTACTTCATAACTATAATTTTGCTACTGTTATGAATCATCATATAAATATCTGATATGCAGGATGTATTTTCATTGTTACAAATTGAACATAAAGCATAGGGATTAGTCACAAAGGCAATATGTAATTATATATTGTGAAATATTTATTTCTAATTACAAATAAATAAAATTTTGCTTGAAGCATGGTGTAGCAATAACAGTCATAATAACAACAGTAAACTACATTACTACATTTTGCGACAGTATCCGTAAAAAGCCGACAACAGTGCTAAGGTTGAGATAGAGGAGCAGTGTCTCGGTTCCTACGACCATCAGAAATATGTCTTAGGCGAACCCTGTGAAAGGGTCGTTGGACCCCCAAAGGGGTCACGACCCACAGATTGAGAACTGCTGCTCTAGGGTTTCATTCAGACTCCAGCTACCCTTCCCTAGCACTATTTCTTCTGATGGGGTGTCTGGGCAGACTCCTGTTATGCATATACATCGCTCAATCATGTGACTTGCATTTGGACCTGGTGAGAGGGAAGGGATTCTGTAAAAGTGAATGGTTTGGACCCTTAGCCCTAAATGGAGTCTCCTCCTGTAGCTCTGAGGAAAAAAGAGCATTTGCTAAACTGGCTCCAATGCGTTCATCCCATGTCGCATGCCTCATGTGTGGGAATGGTTTCTCATTGGTGGTTCTAACGAGGCCTTGTTGTCTGATTTTAACAAATAAACTTTAAAGCCCCGAAGGTTAGGAGCAAAAGCTTTTAGTTGCAACAATAATAGCTGCCTTGGCTGACTGCCTCCTCTTTGCCAGGACGGGTCCATTTGTTATCTCATGCAAGTTTCTTATTTGAGAAAGGCACCGTTATCCCATTTTGCAGATAGGGGAAACATTTAGGGAGGCTAGGGAGCTTGTCTGAGATCACAGAACTCCTAAGTGGAGGTGCTGGCTCTTCACCCCAGAGCTGTCAAACTCCCCAAACCCACGAACAATGCCTCTGCTCTCTTCCAGACAAATGCAAATTCATGTAGCAGTTCTCAACCTGTGGGTCGTAACCCATTTGGGGGCCAAATGACCCTTTCACAGGGTCACTCTATTCATAACAGTAGCAAAATTACAGTTATAAAGTAGCAACAAAAATAATTTTATGGTTGGGGGCTACCGCCTTCACCAGGGAGAAGACAGGGATGTGGATGCAGTGTGTTCACCACAACATGAGGAACTATATTAAAGATGATCCAATGCGATAGACATATTTCAGCCTTTAGAACAATTTAGTTGAATTCCTGCCTTTATTCTTATTATCCCATTTTAAAATAAAACTCCTACTATATAGGGTACAGGGCTAAGCACTTTATATACTTTCTCTCATGGAATCTCCATGACAGTCTGTTTACAGATAAGGATACAGAGTCTCAGAGTGGTGAAGAGACTTGATCAAGGCCATAAAGGGAGGAAGTGACAAAAAATAAAATAAACCAATTCAATGGCAGAAAAACAAACCCACTGTCATCAAGTTGATTCTGACTCATGGTGACCCTGTGTAGGGATTCTGAGACTATAAATCTTTGCCAGAGCAAATAGCCACATCTGTATCCCTTGGAGCAGCTAGTGGATTTGAGCAGCTGACTTTCCCTCAATCGCAAACACTCTTCTGCCATGGTGTCCAGTCTGACTCATAGAGGGTTTCCAAGGCTGTCGATATTCTCAAAGCAGATAGCTTCATCTTTCTCCTGAAGAGTAGCTGGTGGTTTCAAACTGCTGACCTAGAGCTTAGCAGCCCAATGCATAACCCACTATGCCACCAAGGTTCAATACATTTCAGTGGGGTGGGAATTGTAGCTCTCATTCTACTTGTCTCCTCCCTATCAGATTCTGCTCTCCCTGTCGCTTTCTTACAGCTTCCAACCAGCCGCTACTTTCATTTTTTTAAGCCTCTATTCCTTGGCCAGGGCTCTTCCTCAGCCTAGAAAACCTGTACTCACTCCTCCACCTAACAGTAGTGCACTCATGAGAAATTTTTTTTTTTGGTGTTCCTTTTATGACTCAGAATCGACTCAGTGGCAGTGAGCTTGGTTTTTTGGTTGAACTAAATCACTCTTGTATTTCTGCTTTTACCTTGATTGTTGCTGGGTGCCATCTACAAGGTTTCAGCCCTAGTGACCCCATGTGACAGTGTAGAACTGATCCACGGGGTTTTTTTTTTTTTGGCTGGTGGTGCAGTGCTTAAAGTGTTTGGCTGCTAGCACGTTTGGTCAAAGGTCAGCATCGTGAACCTATCAAACACAGGAGAAAGATGTGGAAGCATGCCCTGTAAAATATTTAAACCAAACCCACTGCCATTAAGTCAATTCCAGCTTGTAAGGATCCAATGGGATAAACAGAACTGCTCCTTCACATTTCTGAGACTATCAACTTTTACAGGAACAAATAGCCTCCTCTTTCTCCTGAGGAGTAGCTGGTGGGTTTACATGAAAGACCGTCTGGTTAGCAACCTGTTGCCAAACCCACTCCACCACCAGGACACCTTGGGGTGGAGGGTTCTACTTTGACTTATGGAAGTTGGAATTGACTTGATGGCAGTGGGTCCCAGGGAACCACCGGGTGGCTTTGAACCACCAACCTTTCAGTTAATAGCCAAATGCTTCACCATTGTACCACCAGAGCTCCTTCACCTTCACTAATGCACTAATACACCCTTTATTTTGCCTTAGTGGCCCTTAGGTGACTTTAAATGGTTTGTACTCAACTACTTAACTTAAAGGTTGGTGGTTCGAATGGACTGATCTATTGAGTGGTACTGCCCAAGAAAGGTCTGGTGATCTGCATCAGTAAAATTGGTCAAGATAATCCCATAGAGTAGTTCTACCTTGTAACACATGGAGTTGTCACGAGTGGGAATTAACCAGATGCCAAGCAACAGGTTTGGTATAGCTAGTTTAGCTCATGGTTTACTTGTCTTCTCCACGCAGCTTTTCCTAAGCCCTTGAGAGCAGGAACCAACTTTTATTCGCTCATCTCTAGCTCCATAGTGGTTTAGTAGATGATCAATAGATAGCCGTGAGTTGACCAAAGCACTGGCTGAGGGATGCCCTGAAAATGAATGAATGAATGAATGAATGGACAAATACAGTGCTGGGTCTGGAATGCCCACATAGAAGCCATCTGCACTAGACTAGACAGAGGAGTCTGAGACCCTTAGGGTTCATTTTATTGTTAGATTGTTCAAAATAGACAGATCATAAGGCACAGGTGACATCTCAAGGCAGAGTCCAGGCCCATCCTGTGTTCTCCACTTTGAAATTCATGTTAGGGGGCTAGACTCTCCCAGGATTATTTATTTATTTATTTATTCATTCACTTATTTATTTATTTATTTATTTGTTTGTTTGTTTGTTTTTCCCCCTGTATTCCCCTCCCCCAGCTCCTGCTGCTGGGTGTTCTGCAGC